ATTTGGAGATGAGATGAGCCTTGAACTCTGAAATTCATTCCGGTCAGGTTTCTTATCGCAGTACCAATACCGATATTAAAATAACAGAGACGGATCCGAAATAAAATTTAAGGTCTAAATTTAATAATTTAAAGGAAAACCAGTGTAGATATAATACTAAGATAAGGTATAGATATATTACATAGATAAGGTATAGAGATATAAATCATCAAAGTAAAAAATATAAATGTGTGTTATTATTAGGTTATATTGTCACAAAAAACACTTTATCCGCTTTTTGAATTGTAGACATTTAAATTTACTATATACCAAACACTCAAAAACACTAAACTAGATACAACGTTTAACTTTGTAACGGATTAATTTGTCTACCACATTGGTTATCACTTAGAGCAATTACTGGGCTGAAGATAGGGTAAGCAAACCAACCGAAACGTTTGCGAACAACCACTCTTGTTTTGGTTGGAGAGCTGGATCGTAAGTAAGTAAATAATAACGGATTGGAAAAGGGTAACTACAAATGAGGAAATCAAAAACATACAGAGATTTCCTGGGCAACACACACAAGAAGGTTCCTAAACTATTTGAAATGGACGCAGTTTAAAATAATCCTCTTGTTCGATAGAAAGAAAGGCTTTTCTTACCTACAAAATATTAAAGGGTGAAAATCGTTTTAAAAGTAATAATTCTACAACTTATTAGAAATAAAAATTATCTAAATTTCTCAAGGGAGCATACATTGAGATTAACCATTAAACAAAAAACAAATCAAAATTATTTAAAAGAAGACTAATATGACAATTAGTTAATGCATAAATCTTATAATTTTATTTATTTATATTTTTTTAGTTTGTAATTCTACAACTTATTAGAAATAAAAATTATTTAAATTTCTCAAGGGAGCATACATTGAGATTAACCATTAAACAAAAAACAAATCAAAATTATTTAAAAGAAGACTAATATGACAATTAGTTAATGCATAAATCTTATAATTTTTTTTGGATTGGAATGGAATAAAAAACTCTATAAACAACACACAACTGAATCCCACAGAAACTAAAATTTGGTCTGGGGTGACCATAGAACACAAACGGGCAATTCTTGGGAAGTTTGGACACTTCGAATTATCCTGGCTAACAACAAACTGCAATCTTTAAAACTCGGCCACTCAATTCCTTCTTAAAACCATATGGACCTCTCAAATGGTTGGAAACTCTGTCTTACAAATCTCCCACATAGGACACAACACAACCAATCGGTGATTAACTTAACAAAAACTGCCAAATAGCGTTTCGAAGCCAAATTCACTTCTCAACTTGTAAAAATTGACGGATTTTGAAGACTACACGCCGAGTGCTCTATCTTCTAAATCTTAATCATTTTTCCTAACTAACTGCTACCACACTACACATTTTTCCGGTGACAAAAAACTAATAACCCCGTATAAACAAGGCATAAACGGAAATATTCCTGTTTATTTGACGCGCAAATTATCCTAAAGCGGCATCACGATCCAAAAAATGCAATGTGTTAATATAAACAAAATTAAATATGTTTATATTATCAACCTCAGTGGCGCAAAAACATTGACAATATTTTTCGGTGTCTTAATATATACGAAGGAAAATCGAAATGCTACACCTTAATTAAATATTTGCCAACAATTAAATATTTGGACAATATAATTAGACCCTTAAAAGCTAGTAATTACCTACAACTTACTAAGGTAATAAAATAATATTTTTTTTAGAAAACCCATATTAAATAAATTCAGGTTATGTTCAGGTGTTAATAAAATTACAACTAAGAGAGAATAATTTTAAACTTTTAAAATATCCTAAATAGATCGTATTTATATACATACATATATATTGGAATAATAATAGATATACAAGAAATTAGCATAGTAATATTATGATGTTTAATTAATAAACTTACTTAAATAGTGGTTAAAGAAATAATTTATAAGTTATGTACTAGCGAATATTATTAAATAATAATTATATGGTATTTTTAAGAATTTAGCATATTAATAAATGTTAAAAGTTTTTTTTTATTATAAACATATTTAATTGAGCCATGTGCATAGGCAACCAAATATCCACTGTGTTATTTGACATTTGTTTGTTTGCGGATGAAAAATGGGGTTAAATATTAGTTTAGGATTTTAATTTAAATATAACTACGGATGTAAAATAGTAGTATATTAGTGTAAGACATTTAGTTTATATATATATATATATATATATATATATATATATATATAAATATATATATATATATATATATATATATATATATAAATATATATATATATATATATATATATATATATATATATATATATATATATATATATATATATATATATATCATAGTGAATTCTGATCTGAAAGCCTAAATGTCCATAAGTATCTCACTAGAATTTTCTGGAAAACGTCAATATACAAGGCAGTTAGGCCTATTTGCATAGTCGATTATTCCGGAACTTTCATATATTGATGAGATGAAGAATTTCGAACATGATTTATTGCTGGAACAGTCTGGAATGATGGAATGATAGAAATACCAGGTAATTTGGAGCAGGCAGGCATTAAGTTAGAGGAAGTCATTAAGTTACAGTCAGGCATGAATTTACAGTCAATTGATTAAGATATAGAAGTCAGTCAGTCCGTTACAATTGATTAAGTTAGAATAATTCATGAAGTGATTAAGTTAGTTAGTTGGAAGAATTCAAGAATTAAGTTACATTGAGTCAGTCAGAAATTAAGTTACAGTTACTAAGTCAGTTACAGTCAATTATTAAGATAATAGAAGATATTAGTTAAGTAAGGAGAAGTAAGTCAGTCAGTTACAATTGATTAAGTGAGAAGAATTCATGAAGTGATTAAGTTAAATTAAGTTAGAAAAAAGGATTAAGTGAGATGAAGTCAGTCAGTCAGTTACAATTAAGTTATTAAATTAGATTTATCAAGAAAGTTAGTTTAAGACAGTTATAATTAATTTAAATTAGAAGAAAGGATTAACTTAGAATAATTCATTAAGTCAGATACAGTTGGAGAGTATGAGAGTAAATTAATTCAATAGTTCAATACAGGAGTATGATATATTATACGGAAATTACAAGAATTTTAAATTATATCTATATGCAATTTCACAAATACAAGGATAACGGAGGCTGATTAAAAAAATATTTAGTAATGATAATAACTTTGATTTTGAAAAACTTTAGGCATTCAGTACCAAAGGTACTGAGGTACTGAGCATAGAAAGGTACCAAATTTTGTTAATATAATTTAATAATTGTAAGAATTTTAAATTTTAGATAGGTTATTTAAATTTATATTGTTTATATTAGATATATATGTCTGTTTCATAATAGTTATAATAAAGATAATTTAAAAAAATACTTACAAACTAATTCTTTGAGAACCGCGATAAAAACCCTATACTCATATATTTTATTTTAAACACTCATTGCTCATATACAAAAAAAATCATAACAATATATAAATATATATATATATATATATATATATATATATATATATATATATATATATATATATATTAACAATGTTAGTAACTATTGTACAAATAAACCGACAAGGTGCATACCAGCCCAGCGGTACCTACTATAACATAATACGAAACAAATAAAAAGAAAAAACAAATCAGAAATAAAAAAAACTGAAAATACTAGAACAGAAAAAGCAGTATAATAAACATAATAGAAGTAAAACAATTTGAATGGTGTGAACATATCATAATTATAGAGGAAAATAAGGTAGTGAAGAAATTAGTTAAAGCTTAAAGACAAAACAAAACAGGAAGGTGCCGTCCAAGGTAAATATGTGAAAATAGGATACAATAATTGGAAGCAAACGAAAGTACAAGTGTAGAACACATCAAACACCTAGAACGATCCTTAAGCACAAAAAAAGTAAATTTTGATCTAAAATAGATGAATTTGACACTTGTCATGCAACAAGCATATGCGAAGTCGGAGAAGACAAACCTAGAAACTGCATTACAGATATTCTTCTTCTTCTTCAAGTGCCCTCTCCGCTACGGAGTCTGACAATCATCATTGCTATTCGTAGCTTTAAATCTGCTGCTTTAAACAATTGGTTAGATGTGTACTGAAACCAGTCTCTTAAATTGCGCAGCCAAGATATACGTCATCTGAATCTTTCGTTGTATAATTAACTGGAGCACTCGGTACTTTTTCCCTTCTCATCACATGACCAAATATTCCAGCTTTCTTCTCTTGATGGTGATCAGCAGCTCTCGTTCTTTGTTCATTCTTCGACGAACTACACTATTTGTTATTTTGTCTGTTCAAGGTATTTTCAAAATCACTAGGTCCTTCACTATCATCTTCTAATACCGAATCTGTCTCATGCTCACTTATAATGTCATTTAAAGGGACATCTGACTGTTCCATATCGCTAACCTCACTTTCTACCTCGTCATGCCATGCTGAGTTTCCTTATAGTATTTATCACCGTAGTGCACTGTCTTGGATGAACCTGCTATTTTCGTAAAATGTTCACAAACACTGACATGGTGCCAAAATAATCCCTTTCAAACTTAAGATAGTTATAAACTCAATACCACACTACTGAAGAACTAATGAATCAAGTCAAACGATCTACGTCACTGTAACTTAAAGGTAGCTGGAGTCACAAAGCTATAACATCAAAAATAACAAAATTTCACAGAATTTGAATTTAGTCGGGGGTCATGTGATTACTAAGTTAGTAGTAGAAATAGTAGATTATCTTGTTTTTTTCTTAAGGAGTGCGTTTTTAGCTCTCCTGTATACTTATTTCCGAAGTATAACGGAAATAAAATTAATTATTGAAGTATGCTCAATAATTAAACAGTAAATAAAATCCACATGTTCAGAAATAAAGATAAGAAAGATGCGTTGAGATAATTAAATAAACGTTTTATATATATAAACAATATTTTATTTTCGGAGATGTATTGTTAGCGTCTCCGTTAACGATAAAAGTTTCGGAGATAGTGATCGTGAATTAAATCGAAATTAAATCGATAAAGGTTAGTTTTTTTATAATAATTTTTTATAATATTTATAATATTAGAAATATGAATTATTTAATTTATTGTTAATATAGGCGACCTATATTTTTCGTTTAGTTTAAATTTATTAATTTTATAAAATTAGTATGGAATATTCAAATTCAATAATATTTAAATATTTTTGAATATTAATTTAATTTAAAATAACGTATCGAAAAATTTTTTACTTTAAGGAGAATATAGAAAGATGTTTGGAAACAATATATTTAAAAATTATTATTTTTTAATTAAAAATTATAGACGAGTAATTCTTCATTATGTTTCACAAAGCGGCTCAATGACTTTTCCCGAATCGTTTCAAATAAAATTGTTTTAGACCTATCTTATCGGAATAAAAACTTTTTCTTTGTAATTTTTCTAAAAATGCTTCCTTTATGAGTAATTTACATTTTTTTGTTAAAAAATTACTTAATTAGTGATTTTGAGGATTTTTTTCTAAGAAACTAATAAATGAATTGCAAGTATATCTTCTTCTTCGCGTGCCATCTCCTCTAAGAAGGTTGGCAACCGTCATGGCAATTCGCACTTTCGACGCCGCTGCTCTAAAGAGGTCAGCAGAAGTACAGTTAAACCAAGCTCTTAAATTATTCAACCAGGAGATGCGTCTTCTTCCGCGACTCCTTCTACCCTGTATTCTTCCTTGCATTATTAATTGCAACAAGTTATAACGCTCGCCCCTCATAACATGTCCTAGATATTGCAGTTTTCTGACTTTAACTGTATTTAAGACCTCTTTATCTTTACCCATTCTTTTCAATACCTCAACATTCGTGACCCTATCTACCCAACTTATTCTTAATATCCTTCTGTAGGTCCATAACTCGAAGGATTCCAATTTGTCCGAAACATTTTTCTTTAAAGTCCAAGCCTCCAACCCATAACATAATACGGAGAACACGTAGCATCTTAGAAGTCTTATCTTTAAAGAAATTGAAATGTCCCTGCTGCAGAGTACTTTTTTCAGTTTGTTGAAAGAATTTCTTACCTGTCCTATTCTTGCCTTATTCTCTTTTGTGTACTCATTATTTTCATTAATTATTGTACCCAGATATTTATATTTTTCAACTTTTTTTATTTGTTCTTCATGTATTGTTATGCTTTTTGGCGCTGTTGGGCTTTTGTAATTACCATAACTTGTGTCTTTTTGTATTTAGGGACAGTGCTTTTTCTTCACTGACTTCTACCACTCTGTCAACCATTTGTTGTAAATCCTGAAGACATTCCGCTAATAAAATAGTGTCGTCGGCAAACCGTATATTATTGATTGGTCGGCCATTTACTTTTATTTTCATAGTTATATAATGATTTTATTAGTCCTAATTTATTGTCTTTATTCTAATTTATTAAAAGTCACGATAATTTATCAAAAGTCTTTATTTTATACTAATTTATTTTATACTTAATAATTACAAATAATTTATTTGCGTTCGATACAATTTAAACCACGTTCCGCGAGTTTCTTTTCTTCACTGACCGCTCAATGAAAATCTTCCGTTATTTATTTGAAACCAGCTGGTAAACAGAATGTTGCGGAAAATACGATGGCGTTCTCGACGTAGACGCAGCGGCAATGATCTAAAAACTGGTATCGGTGCGATTCCAGAAAGCTCTTATTTGTCGATTTATAGCGAAGGGAACCCAACGGGTGTCAGGTAGATTTGACCTAGAAATTACGAGAATCAATAAAAAAGAATTAATATAAGGTTGAATGTTCGAATAAATGAACTTTGATGGTACACAAGGCAAATATCGAACACAGTATTTAATTAAATCTTGCCCAAGTACTTTCGATCACAAGATCATCCTCAGGGGCATTTCGTCAATTGTGGCCTATCCAGCAATAACCAAATGTCATACATGTAAACTGGGACATAACAAATACACTAAAGACAAACAAACACTTTAAAATTTAAATTTGGAGAAGCTACATTTTTATATTATAGAAGCCGGAGACAGAATGGCTCCCAGCCTGGCGGAGGCGGAAATATTCCGCCTCCGTGTTTGTTTGTCTTTAGTGTATTTGTTATGTCCCAGTTTACATGTATGACATTTGGTTATTGCTGGATAGGCCACAATTGACGAAATGCCCCTGAGGATGATCTTGTGATCGAAAGTACTTGGGCAAGATTTAATTAAATACTGTGTTCGATATTTGCCTTGTGTACCATCAAAGTTTAAAAAAGAATTAGTCATAAAATATTTACAGTTCTATACGCCATAACATTTAAAATCGTAACAGTTAGTCCTTCTAGTGCTTCCTGGATTACTATCTCTGAATACAAATTAAACAAAGTAGGAGACAGGACACAGCCCTGCCTGACGCCCCTCTCAATCTGTATTTCATTTGAAAAGACGTTGTTCTCTTTAACCACAGCGATCTGATTATAATAGATAGCGCTAATGATCCTGATGTCTCTCATATCTAAGTTTTTCTTTTCAAGTAATTCGATACGACGGTTATGTCTGACCTTATCGAAGGCTTTGTTGTAATCCAAGAAACACATATATACTGGCTGATTAACATCCATGCACCTTTGCACAAGTACATTTACAGCGAACATTGCTTCCCTCGTTCACTTATTGTGAATTGTGTGTCACTTATGTCCTGCTCAAGTTTGTTGTGTATTCTCCGGTGTATAATTTTTAAAAATATTTTGACCGTATGGCTCATTAAACTTATTATCCGGTGGTCTTGGTATTCTTTTGCATTTGGATTTTTTGGTAGTGTTATGAATGTTGATATCAGCCAATCTCTGGAATGATTCCTGTACTGTATATTGTAATAAATAAGTCGACCAATATTCCAATTTCTTGTTCTTCTACTAACCGTATTACTTCTACATGTATTTCGTCAGGATCGGTTGCCTTGTTATTCTTTGTTCGCTTTATCGCCTCTAATACCTCATCTTCTGTTATGTCTGGGCCGTTGTCGAACTTTTCCTGGTTTAGTACTATCTCAGTCCGTTCGTCTTTAAATAGCTCTTAAATATATTCCTGCCATCTTTTAAGCCTTTCACCGACGTCTATAATTATTTTGCCGTTTTTATTCAGCAGTATGTTTGATTTTTTCTTAATATTAGTGCCTGTTATTTCCCTAATTTTTTTATGAAGGTTTAAGTTATCATGTTTCTCCACCAACTGTTCAATCTCTTCGCATCTGTCACTATACCATCTTTCCTTTGCATCTCTGATCTTTCTCCTTATTTCTGTGTGTATAATATTATACATATTTTTGTCTTTGGTTTTATAGGATCTTTTTGCTTCCATGAGATCCAGAATCTCATCGGTCATCCATTCATTTTCATCTCACATGTGCGTATAAGAGCATCTTTTAATATATGCCATTTCCTGTTTGCATTTTCAGTAAGAATCATTTCTAGTTTGGTGAGCTCTTCTTTAATTTTTAGTTTGACTTACTCTTTTGTTGATGGATCTTTCAAACGGGATACTTGTATCCTCTCTACTTTAGTTTCAGCCACAAGCTTTTTTAGATTAATTCTAAACTTTCCTACAACTGGGTTGTGATCTGATCTCAGATCAGCTCCGGGGTATGATTTTACTGATTTTATGGAATTTCGCTTTCGTTTGCAGATGAGAAGGTAGTCAATTTGGTTTCTGATGACGTTATGTTGGTTGTCTGATGGAGATTTCCATGTATAGAGTCTCCTGGGTGGCAGATCATAATAAGTATTCGCGACAAGCAAATCGGTCTGTTGGCAGAATTGAGCCAATCTGTCTCCTCTCTCGTTACGGGTGCCCAGTCCAAAGTCTATAAAAATGCAAGTCTATAAAAATCTTTATAATCTTTAAACCTTTAAGTACAAGTAAAAATATTTTGACACGGATAAGTGCTTTCTATCTTGCAACATAGTTTTAAGTTTAAACAAAGATTTCTAAGCGCCGCGCGCCTGTATCGCCGTGATCGTACACGCCTATTATCACATCAGCGATAGATGGGTCGAAATGCATAAATGAAATACTTGGTCCTACGTTTTGAGCAAGATGGAATCGATTGATCCATGTCAAAATATTCTGCCTTGTTCTTGAAGGTTTAAAGATTATAAAACTTTTTATAGAATTTCAATTTACTTCTACAAAAAATTGCAAATAACTCGAAAAGGAAGAATTTTTGAAAAATTACTAAAATAGAAAAAGTATTTGTTTCCGGAAATCGTAATAACGATTTCCGGATCAATTGCAAAAATTAAAAAAAAATTATATCAACTTGAAAAAAAAAATATAAATAAAATCGAATAAAAACTTTTTGGTGCAGTAAAAATGCAAAAAAAAAAGTTTGAAAGGGGTCAGTTTGGCACCACGTTAGTGTTTATGAAAAATTTACGAAAATGGCAGGTTCATTCAAAACAGTACATTACGGTGATAAAAACTATGAAGAAACTATGTTAGCATGGCATGACGAGGTAGAAAGTGAGGTTAGCGATATGAAAGAGTCAGGTGGCTCCTTAAATGACATTGAAAGTGAGCATGATATAGATTCGGTAGTAGAAGATGATAGTGAGGGAGCTAGTGGGGACTTGTCTGACAAATCCGATTCTGAAAGTGGTGAAGAAGTTGAAAATGGAATGAGTTATTATGGTAAAAATAGACTTAAGTGGTCATCACAACCTTTTGTACAGAGAACGAGAACAGAGAAACATAACTTACTTTCGTATTTACCGGCACTTTGTGATGTCGCCAAAGTTGGGCAAAATTGCATCGCCTTTACAAATATGGAGGTGTGTAATCGATAATGACATTCTAGCTAAAATTCTTATACATACTAATTAAAAAATATCTGAGTAAAAAAGAAACTGTAAGCGGCTTAATAAACCAGAATTGCAAGACCTTGATATTGTAGAACCTGAAGCCTTTTTATGCATATGGCGGCGTATGAAGACAGTGGCCGTGACATATTCTGTTGTGTGATATCTTGGGAAAGAATGCTAATGATTTTAAGA